TTAAAGCAATCAATGGTTTTTTCGAATAATGATTATTTACATATTTGAACGATAATTAAAAATAGCTTATTCTAATTTTTTGGTAAAGGAGAAACTGATTTTGTATTAAAAGTATTTAATATGTACAATATTTGAGTTTGGTACAAATCGTTTTGAAATTGAATATTTAGTACGCAAATTACTGTGAAGTATATTTGGAATATTTTTTCTTTCGCTTAGTGATTCATTATTGTGTTCAAATGTTTAGAAATAATATTACTAAATAACACATCCCATTTTATTGAGTTGGTACTTTTAGAACTACGATATAATTCGAATTGTGTCATACTTCCTGCATATCTGCCGCCTGCAGTATCCTATTCAAGGAGTGAAGCTATGTCTATGAATGTATGCTAAGTTTTTCGTCGATATTTGCACTACCAAACAATATTTCTACTTGTATTTTTCATTACAACATACTTTTGCGATATTCTTGGAAATAACATCTGTTTTGATGTATCTACACAAACGTACTAACGAGTAATTAATGCAAACGTATGATAATATTCAATGTATTTATTACCATGTTCATGTTTTTATCGTGACGTTATGGCATATTATATTTCTCAATACTTTTTAGAAATCCCAGAACATCTTTGAAAACTTGGTATTTCTTTTCCCGTACTCGGTAAAGCGCCCACCCCGGACTCGAAGGCAATAATAAAAATAATAATAATAATAACAATAATAATAAATAATAATAATAATAATAATAATGGTGTACGTCGTTTTTGGAACGTTGATCGTGTTATCATTCAAATCGGACGATTTACGAGTCGAACGTTATTATTTTTATTATTTCTATTGCTATTGCGTTGTCGTACTATTATTGGTATGACACAACGATGGTGCTGCGGCGGTGCGCCTCGGAGACAACCCGCAGAGAGAACACACACGTTATTCGGTTTGAAACGTTCAGTGACGGAAAGGAAAAAAAAACAACATATACTTGCGCGTGTACCATATATATATTTATGTATGTCGTACATATGTATAGGAAAACAACACCTTCTCTTCGTCGCGTGCACCTACGCAGGACGCGTGTAACGAACGCGTTTTGACGAAACGGAACGAAAAAAAAAAAATAATACCTCGACAGCCGTTTCTCGCGGCGACTCTGACGTAATAATATTGTGTGCCTGGTCACCCCCCCCCCCCCCCCCCCCC